ATCCTCGTTCTTGTTTGCATCATTGTATTCTTTTCTTGAACGCAAAATATACTTCAAAACTCTTGTTGCCAAACTAGAAACACTTGGATGAGGATCTTCCGCGTATTGGTTCAACAAAGACATTGCAATTGCGTATGCGCGGTTGATGAACTGTTTCATGTGGACATTGTCGTCAACAGCTTGGAAGAACAACCCATTAGGTTTGTCGAATAAACTCAAATTGTATTTCTGGCCAAAACAACTCTTCACAGTTTGGTCGAAAGAATTTGCCTGGAAAACGAAATTTGAGTTAACAATCACACTTTCTGAGTAGTTCTCAAACGAAGTGACGAACTTCTTCAAGAGAAGAACGAAATGGAATCTAACTAAATAAGAAGCATCAGCTATAACAGGCAATGCCAAAAACAACAATTGTCCATTGACATTGCATTCAAATGGTCTCAAGAAACAGGCCAAAGCAGAAAGAGCAGCAACTCTCACTGCAGGAGAAGGAGAGAACAAATGAATGGAACATTGTACGTGTAAACCATTTGACACGTAAACAGTTGGATCAGGAGAATACAAGTGAAAAGCTCTCCTGACAATTAAAAGTAACCATGTTGCTAATAATGGAGAAGCACGGCCGAGTTCTACACGAACTTTGGAAAGGAACTCGAGGGATGTGCACACTTGTTGAAGAGCTTCGTTGCAGATAGCCAATGTCGCGACAATGGCCGCTACAATGGTTCTGGTCGACTCATTCAATGAAGTGTCAAAAATGATGTTCGGAAATTGAGAAGGATCTTTGTCTTTCCTGATTTCGGTTGCGAAATCCGGTTTGTGGTAAAGCAGCGTGAGAACTAAGAAGCAGATCGAATGGAATGCAGGATCAGAAGTATTCCATTCGATCATCTTCACGAACAAAGCGTGAAAAACAATGGCGCTGCAAAATCTTTCAGGATTCATCTCAGGAGAAGCTGCGTATTGTGCGAAAAGAAGAAGTGGCTTCTGGCAATTAGCTTCGTCAGCATAGAACATGTGGAATAACAATGTTAAGTGGTAGGATCTGATCAAATTGTATTGTTTGTTCTTCAAAATCATCGCGAAACTTTGGGCAACGGAATTAAACAAGTCCGAAGTAAAGTTTATGCGTTGGATGGATACAGAACAGATCGCGTTGTCCAAAAGAACGCTCCATTGCTTCCAGAGAGGATGCATCGAAAGATCTGGAAGAGCTGGATGGGTTACGGGGTGGATACGGTATGGACGAAGAAGATACTGCGCAAAGAGAACGTATCTGAAGATAACAGCTGAAGATCTGTCACATCTGAAAATTCTATGGTAAAGATCTTTAGGAAGACCATCGGAAGCGATGGCATCTGCAATAGCGGTAAGAGCTTGCATCAACTGGTTGGGTTCCTTTGGTTTTTCTTGGATTAAATGATCACAGGGAATTTCTGTGGGGAAATTGTTTCCTACAAGGTTTGTCCTGTAGTGCTGTAATAAATGACAGACAATGCCCATCTTAAGAGGTGATAAAATGCAGGAAGAAAGGAAATCTTTTGGTAATCTTGGATCGTCTGGCAGCTGCTCGTTTACATCGGTTGCGCAGATGCAAACCCAGTTCTCCCAGATCTTGTTGTTATCGCGAGCGGCCAATTCTGCGGATGTTTCTTTAAATTGAGGAATAACAACGGCGGCATTGGAACAATCGAAGATAAACCAGGTAGGAGGCATGAGATTACGGAATAAATCAGATATATTGTAAGGTTTGAACTCTGTAGAACGTCTATCAGAGCACCAAATTGTATTCTTTTTAATTACAGGAAATCCATAGCCAATGTAGTGGAATAAAACTCTTCCGCTAACAACTTCTGATCTGATGGACGATAAATTGTTTAATCTGTCTGCATTTGGAGCAATTGAAAAGAAAAATCTGATTTTCTGTCGAATTTGATGATAAGTGTTCTTAAAATATGTTTGTATAGTTGTAGGATATTCGGAAGAGAAAGAATTGTTTGTATTTTGCCAAGCGAAAATTGAAGGAATTTGTTTTGCAAAATCAGAACTAGGTTTTGGAAACTGTTCAAGATGTGCAACATTGACAACAACACACTCGATTGGCTCAATTCGAATAGAATTAATTGGTGTAGTTGGGCAACTGAAATTTTCCAATGAATATTCCTTATCTGATACTCTAATACAGTGCATTGGAGTGTCTGGAGGGTTTAACAGGATTTTGTGCTCATTAAGCATACTTGAAACTTCGGCTGTAAATTCTTGAGATTGAGTTCTCATCGGATTCATTAGGTTTCGAGGGATATCGTCTGGGCCTTCACCATCGGAACTTCCGGAGTTGTATTCATTAACTTTCTTCCCTAAGCTAACGAAATTAACAGCGGAACTCTTTCTCATCATTCAAAAAATTTTTTTTTCACTTTCAATTCTTTGTTGATTCCATCGACATTATATTCTATCCTCCTTTGGATAATATTGAAAATCAACTCATGAAAATATTTGCACCTGAATTATCGAATCAAGGCATGTTCTTTGCGTTGGAAAAATTATCAAATTTTATTTATCATGCTAATAACTTGCCATCTCAAGGTAAAAATCATATTATTAGATACAATAATCTCATTTGATGCTTAATTTTGCTTATAAATGCATATATTGAATGGATTTCCATTAGTTATTGCTTTGCAAGCTGCTAGATCTTCATTAGAGCTAAAAATACTTTCAAAATTGAAATGAGCATCAATATTTAATCACTCTCATATGTAAATAACTTTTTAAATAATTAAACTTGGCTCCGATAGCAATTCATAAAGAATGAGATATTTAGTGTTTAGTATTCAATGCGATTGTATATCAAAACTATCAATGAAAAAATAATTCAATGAAGTGAGTTCATTTTCTATAAGTGAGAGACTTCAAACAACAAGTTTTAAATTTGGTAATGCCAAACGTATTCAAATATTTAATAATGCCAGATTGTTCTAAAAAATAATATTTCAAATGACGGATAAAAAGTATAAATCTTTTTTAAAGAAGAGTATTTAATCAGTAGTAGACTTAAAGAGGTCGCTGGATGAAGTGCCCATTTCAACACCATCCTTCTGTAACAATGATTTTGTGCCACCGCCTAACCAAACGGCGAAGACTGCGAAGATAATCATGCAGATAACATCGATAATCCAGCCAATGCCTTGGATTGTATATTGCTTGAAATCTGTTGTGAAGCATCTAAGGAATAATATGAAGAACATGATGATTTTGCCCCAGAATAAAACCATAAAACCGAAATACTTGAAGAAAGCTGGACGGAAAACTTCTGTAAGAATAACAAGAATTCCAAAAACAATATCGAAAAAGCCATTGACACCCATGAAAAAGTTACCGTGAGCATCCTTAAACCAGAAGCATCCTACAATGATGGCAAATATACCACCAACTATAGCGATGATCTGAGCAATGACTGTCAAATCACAAACACAAGCCATAGTAAAATTTTATGATCACTTCACACAAAATAATGATTCAATTTGATCATGCTCAAATACATCAGTATTATTCTTTTCTAGTTATTAAATATAAAATTATTCTGCTCTAAACTATAAAATAATCTGACATGAAAAAAAAGGTAGTGGGGCTTCCAGGCGCGTTGCGCCCTCTAGCCCCGAAGATGTTTAGTATAAATGAAGTTTTTATTCGGAAAATTGTTAGTCTTCTGGTGTGAATTCGGCAATTCTCGTGTCGAATGACCGTTGGATGTAACGAGGAAGATTTTGACGAACTTGGTATAAAGTTCTCAACATTATAAAGGATGTGGCGAGTGGGGCTTCCATTAGATAAAAATGAACTGACCAAAAAAGACAGATATTTAAATATTTGAGATAAACCGTTTTTGTCAACGGTAACTATTAAATAAAATAAAAAAATAGAGGGGTTACCGTTGGAAAAATGGTTTATCTCAAATATTGAATGAACTATAAACGTTTTTTGTTTTCTATATATACTTTTTTGTCCAACGGTAAAACTTTTTACACAACTGTTTTTGAGAGTCGTCGCCGTTGACTTTTTTGTAGAGCACTCAAAATAGTATAACTTTGTCCGGACAAGTAAGGGTCTATCATCGCTACAGGAAAAGTTACAGGCGTTCCAAGGAAGTATACTTTGAGAAGCCTTTTTCCCCTTATAGAATGAGATAGGACGGTTATTTTACAAAACCGACAACACTTTGACCGAGTAGTTTTTTGTGCTGAACAAATAGTGTCATATAAACATCTGTCAAAAACCGCTTTTTAACTTCACTTAAAATGCCACGTAAGCTACGTAAGAATATACGTAAGAGGAAGGGAGCATTGAAACATCCAATAGTAAAACTGACACCACAACAACAGTTGCAACAACAAATTATGAATGACCCCACTATGTTGCAACAAATGTCAAGCAACCCTATGCTTTTAAACCGAGTTATTGGTGCACAGAGTGGAGGTTTAAGAGCGGCACTTTTAGCGAAAATGGCAGGCTATGGTGGATCTGCAGACAGAACAGCTTATAACCCTCAAAGTCAAATGAATTTGAGTTCACTCAAAAATTAAATAACAGATGTCAAAAAGTCAAACATAGACATACAGAAACAAATAAGTGAAAACGAAAAGAAACTAGAATATGACAGACAGACAAAGAAACTCAATGAGTTAAACGTAGAGAAAAAGAAGAAAGAAGAACAACTGAAAGAACTAAGTACAGAGGAATATGCGAAAAAAGTGTCAGAAAAAGCAGCAGAAGTAGCAAAAATGGAACAAGATGTTATAAATTTGAAAAACCATACTACTCAATATAAAGTACTGAAAGATGAAGAGATAAAACAAAAAGCCATGAAGACATATATGGATAGCGATGAGTATAAAAAAGAAGTTGAAGCAAATGTAAAGGCAGAAAAACTTTTACAGTTGCAAAACCAAACCGTACAGTATGAAAACTTAGCACAAGAAAGTAAAAATAACGACGCAGCCATGCAAAAGGCAATGAAAAGCGCAGATATTATAAAAGCTAATAATGACTGGTTAGATGCCCAAGCCAGCGCTAAAGCAGCCCAACTTATAGGGTCAATAAGGACAAAAATACAAGCGGATGAAGACAGTTCAAATGAAGCTTTAATGAATGCTGACTTTAAGAATGCCTTCGAAGCTCTTCATAGTAAGGTGAAACTAGTGAACGACTTCTCATCTGGAAAGAAACTGAAGTCTGAAGGTTTCGACAAAGAGTTAAGAGAAGTAGCACAAAATATGACGAAAATAACAGATGCAGCAACGAGACAGGCAGTTCAAAGTGCCTATGATGCCGTTAGAGCAGCTGTCGTGGAAAGTCAAGAAAAAGAGTTACAACAGACCAAAACAGACCTAGTAAATGCTTTCTTAAGAATGAAAAGTCAGGTAGGACATTATGCTGCAGATGGAACATATGTGCCAGCTGGTGGAACTTATATACCACCAAACACTCCAAGAGAAGCACCTGCACCAGGACTACCTAAAACATTTACATCGTCACATGGACACAGACACAGACATGCACCAAAACCAACACAACAACCAACAGTTCAAAATCCAGCACAACAACAACAACCAAAACAAACAGTTCAAAATCCAGCATAACAACCAACAGTTCAAAATCCAGCACAACAACCAACAGTTCAAAATCCAGCACAACAACCACAAACAGAGCAAAGACATAAAAGAAGTAGAGAAAAAGGAAACCAAGAATTCTTAAAAATGCTTAAGGAAGATTATGGTTACCCAGATACTCTTGACTTTAGTGACAGATATAAAGAAGCTATTAGAAAGTTCAAGGAAGGAAATACTGACCCGAACCTATTTAGCTTTATGGTTCAGCATAAAATCGGATATAATCTCAAACCTGGAAAATACAAGCTCGCAAAGGGATATGATTTAATAGCATATCATCCAAATGACATGGATGAATTTACTCCGAGATATTTGATGTCAGAGCTAAATGATAATTCAACTCTCTTCATGAAACGCGTAAAAAATAGAGACGGAACGAAAGAAGAAAGGTTTATGAGTCCGGATGACTTAGATAGGGAACTTGTTAAAAACGGTCTCGGAATATATGAAATGCCAGCAGATGAGGTACAAGAAACTCAACAGGAAGAAGTTCAGATACAACCAGACATGGAAGAAATAGTTCAGCAACAACAGCTAGAAGAGCCTGAAGGAAACGAACAAGTTCCTCCTTTGGAAACTAACTTCACAGAACTAGATGAAGATTTGGAACAGCCGAAAAATCTTGACCCTCAACAAGAGTATGAGGTGAATATGGAATCTTTCCAAGAGTCTAAGAAAAATTCGGCTGACATAGTAGAAGAATATCGAAAAATGTTCACCGACATACAAAAGACTCCAACATCAGATGAAAATATTCAGCATAGAATGGAAGTACTGAAAGAAAATGTACGCAAATACAATAATCCTTTTTACTTACGACCATATAACGTTCAATCTTTGGCTGAACTCGGTGAAAATAAAAGGTTAAATTTCAACAAAACATATAGAAATGAAACATTGTTTAAAGTTCATTCAGAACCTAACCAATATGGAAACAAACCTACTTTTGTTTCTGCAGACTATGGAACTACAATGAGATGGGGTCATAAAGCTAATCCGGATAGGTGGTTCATAAACTTACAACCTCAATTCCAAGAAGTTGTAGACGCAATGGAAGTGAATGGTGAACCAGATATAACTGGTATTTTCAGCGCGGCTTTAATGCCATTGAAAGATATGAAAGATGCAGATATTTTGGACCGGTATGAAATGAACATGGCTGAGGGAAATATAACACCTGATGTTCTAGAACATTTATCTCAAAGAACTACACAGAACCATAGAGATGGTATATTTGGTGAAGAGTTTAGAAAGAAAGTTAGGGAGAGAGAAGGAAGAGAACCTATTGTACATGACCTTGCAAACGAAAGTTTGCAAAATGTCATAAAAACTTACTTTGCAGACAATGAACTGAGAAGGGATGAATATTTAAGAAAACTCAAATGGACAGTACCAAATGAAATGTTAGTATTGAAAAACATGTTCCATGACAAAATAAAACCAACTACAGAAATAAATGACGCAAGACTGAAACGTTGGGTAAAAGCTTTCCCATTCACAAAAGATATTATTGGTTACATGGAAAGAAAACCAGAATGGCTACAAAAACATATATTTGGAAACGAGCTTATTCCATATGGACAAGCTATATTTGAAGAGCTTGAACCGGAAACTCAGGAAAGAGTCATGCAAACAATAATCGAAGACTCAAATACAAACTATGACAAAATCTTTCTAGGATATAGGTTACCTGAGATGGGCGACCAGAGCCCAAAGGCAAAAAGGACATGGGAAATTTACAACATACTAGGTGAACATGAGGCAAAGATGCTACAACTTGAAGCAGAGTGTTGTGCATGAAAAATAGCGTGACTTCACTTTTGACAAAAAGTGACACTATTTCTGATGGTTTTGTCATTTATTTGTCAGATTTATAAATGGATAATAATGCTGTAAATCAGATATTAATTAAAAATATTTAAGATTTATGTTCGAATTGAAAAGCAAAATGATATTTTTTTTAATTGAAAAACGTTAATATCTGATATTTTGAAGTTTTAATATTTGTTAAGTATCTTAAATTATTGAATGCATACGTTTTTTTATGTTCTCAATTTTAAAAAAATGTGAAGAATTTAGTTTTTTGGAGATGGATGTTTAATATTTGTGAGTGAGAATGCAAGCAGGAGTTTGGTACTTTAAGGCTAGGTTGAGATAGATTTCCCATTATATTATCTGTGAATATATTGTTTGAAAATTCAAGATATAAAAATATATTATCAAAAAATTTTATATTTTTAAATACAATAGGGTGGAAATATAGTACAATGAGATAGCAATGATATATTTTATAATGGGAGGTAATCTGAAGATAAGTAGCAAATTTTATGCGATTTTGATTGGGAGTTGGAGGGTGTGAGTACTATAGCATGTAATAGTATCTCACACCTCCAATTCTTCCTATGGCGCCGAAAAATTTTTGGTGAAATGCGACGACATTTCACCAAAAATTTTCGGCGCCATATAGAGAACTATAGTCTGCGAGGTACTGATTCTATCTATGTACCTCGCAGACCATAGTTCTCAGCCAAAATGGCTAATAATTTGAGAGTCTATATGATAATGTAAAAGTTAAAACATTCAAGTATTTAAGTATTTCTTTAAAATATTAAGTTTTTTATTTTTCCAATAAAATTCTAATATCAAATATTTTTATTTAACGATTAATTTTATTTATATTTTTATATTTTTGTTTTAAGAAAAAATATTGTTAGGGTTGTTGTAAACAGAAATTCATCAAAAGTGACACCTCAGAAAAGCTAAAATATTGAATTTTTGGAACTTTTGATAGAGCACGTTTTTAAATATTAATTAAAGTAAATGTATATTTTGTAAAGATTCTTTTTAATAAAAAAAAAAATAAAATTTTGAAGAAGAACACAAAATCTTCTGAAAAATAATATCACATAAACTCATATTATTTTCTAATATATAACTATTTTATATAAAAATCAAATTCAATGATCTTAAAAGCGAAGGATAAACCTCAAAATTTACGAATATAATGAGTGGGAATATAATGCTTATCTATCATAAAACCATATGAAATATCAATTTTTGCTTTACGCCTAATTTTTGACGACAATTAGCAAAAAAATGTTAAATGTTAACACTCAGTCCATTTGAATATGAAAAATAAAATTGACTTTGATTAAATGTTTTTATTTATCATGCAATTCTTCTTGCGACCAAAGATTTGAATAAAATTTCAAAAAATAAGATAGCTTAAAAAATAATATACGGTAGTGTTTACTAATAGATGAATAGTATATAAATTCTATTAAAATGGATTTGATCCAAAAAAATATAAAACCAAAAATAATTGTTATAATTTAAATGAAGAAGTAATTTAAAACGATTTTATTTATGATGAAATTTTATATATTTTTTTGGATCAAATCCATTTTAATAGAATTTATATACTATTCATCTATTAGTAAACACTACCGAAAAAAAAAAAAAAAAAAAAAAAAAAAAAAAAAAAAAAAAAAAAAAAAAGGGAGTGGGGCTTCCAGGCACTTCGTGCCCTCTAGCCCCGAAGATGTTTAGAATATGAGAGAGGTCCTATAAACCGGAGAAAGTGTCATATAAACATCTGTCATTTTACTCAGAATTTTCATGAAATTTACACCAAAAATATATTTTAGGGTAGAAGGGTATATCTAACCTCTTTTCTAACCTCTTTTCTACCCTCTTGAATTTTCATGAAATTTACACCAAAAATATATTTTAGGGTAGAAGGGTATATCTAACCTCTTTTCTAACCTCTTTTCTACCCTCTTGAATTTTCATGAAATTTACACCAAAAATATATTTTAGGGTAGAAGGGTATATCTAACCTCTTTTCTAACCTCTTTTCTACCCTCTTGAATTTTCATGAAATTTACACCAAAAATATATTTTAGGGTAGAAGGGTATATCTAACCTCTTTTCTAACCTCTTTTCTACCCTCTTGAATTTTCATGAAATTTACACCAAAAATATATTTTAGGGTAGAAGGGTATATCTAACCTCTTTTCTAACCTCTTTTCTACCCTCTTGAATTTTCATGAAATTTACACCAAAAATATACTACTAGGGTCATTTACGAAGAAATCTCAACAAAGTCTTTACGATGAAGTCTTGACAAAGTCTTTACGAAGAAGTCTTAACAAAGTCTTTACGAAGAAGTCTTAACAAAGTCTTTACGAAGAAATTCATGAAAATTCAAGAGGGTAGAAAAGAGGTTAGAAAAGAGGTTAGATATACCCTTCTACCCTAAAATATATTTTTGGGTCATTTACACTCATTTACGAAGAAATCTCAACAAAGTCTTTACGAAGAAGTCACAATAAAACGTCTGTCAAAAGCCGCTTTTCTGTCACTTTTCAGGTAAAAACATTTTTATTATATATATAAAATGAATTTTACAAAACCACCGTTACCCTTCTTTGGAAATAAGAGTAGATGTAAAGATATTCTATTGAGAGAACTTAAGAAACTACCGAATGGTCTAACATTTGTAGACTTGTTCGGTGGAAGTTTCTATATATCTCATTTGTGCCATACAATATTTCCTGACTCAAAGATTATATGCAATGACTTCGACAACTATATGAACCGTCTCAAACATATACCAGACACAAACAAAATATTGAAAGAGTTAAAAGAAAAGATACCTATAGGTAAGATGGAACGTATACCATTAGATAAGAAAAATACTGTCAGAGAGGTTTTGAAAAAGGCAGAGTATATTGACTGGGATAGTATATCTTCTAGACTATTATATAGTGGTTCTATAAGAGTTCATGACATTGAAACACTTATGTCAAACGTTTTATATCTTAACTATACAAAGGTTTTCAAAGAGAACATAGAAAAATATACTGAGGGTATAGAGTTTGTGAGATGTCATTGGACAGAGTTGTATGAAAAATACAAAGACAAGGAAAATGTTTTCTTTATAGTAGACCCGCCGTTCTATAACACAT